TGACCCCAAAGTGACCCCTCACCCCCCACCCACTGACCCCTCCGACCCGGACGGACCCTTCACCCCTGGAGCCCCGACCTTGACCCCAGCCCAATGTGACACCCCCCGGCCCAGCCCGACCCCCCAAACCCGGTGTGACCCCACAGCCGGTGTGACCCCCTGACCCGCACAGCCCGACCCCTCTCTCCCCGGCCAACCCCCCCGTCCCTGTGCCCCCCGATGCCGCCCGCCGTGCCCGCACACCCCCTGTCCCCGCTGTCCCCCCGTCCCCCCTCACCGCCGCCGCCCGGCTCGCGCCCAGCGCCGCCATCTTTGTGGCCCCACAATGCACCGCGCGGCACGTGACCAGGGTGGGCGGGGCCGGGAGCGCTCCGCGGCGCCCCCTGGCGGGCAGGGGAGGCACTGCGGGGACGGGACCCCCCGGGACCCTTGGGGACACCCCGGGACCTTTGGGGACACCCCGGGACCCCTGGGGACACCCCGGGACCTTTGGGGACACCCCGGGACCTTTGGGGACACCCAGAGATCCTTGGGGACACCCCGGGACCCTTGGGGACACCCCGGGACCTTTGGGGACACCCCGGGACCCCTGGGGACACCCAGGGACATTTGGGAACCCCTCGGGACCCTTGGGAACCCCCCGGGACCCTTGGGGACACCCCGGGACCTTTGGGAACACTCCAGGACCCTTGGGGACACCCCGGGACCTTTGGGAACACCCCGGGACCCTTGGGGACACCCTGGGACCTTTGGGGACACCCCGGGACCCCTGGGGACACCCCGGGACCTTTGGGGACACCCAGGGATCCTTGGGGACACCCCGGGACACTTGGGGACACCCAGAGACCTTTGGGGACCCCCCCGGGATCCTTAGGGACACCCTAGGACCTTTGGGGACACCCAGGGGCCTTTGGGGACACCCCGGGACCCTTGGGAACACCCCAGGACTTCCCCTTCCACACCCTCCCAGGGCCTGCTCCAGGAACCCCTCCTGGAACCCTTCTTCGACCCCAGTATCCTCCCTGAATGACTCCCACAGGACCCCTCTGAGGGTCCCAGGGACACGACCAGGGGACCCCTCAGTGTCTCCCCAGGACCCCTTGGGACACCCAGTGACCTCCCCTTCCCCACCCCCCAGGGCCTGCTCCAGGAACCCCTCCTGGACCCCAGTGTCCCCCCCGAATGCCCCCCCTGAATGGGGTCTGTTGAGCATCTGTGACCAGAGACAGGAGCGGGAGCTTTTCTCTTTATTGAGCCGGGAGGGAGGGGCCGTGGTGGGAGGGTGGGGGTCCGCCTGCCCCCAGGCTGGGGGTCCTGCACCACTGGGGGGTCTCAGTGCCGTGTTTTGTTTCCCAAACTCGTGCTGGGAGCAGCTGCCAGAGGACACGGACACCTCGCTGCCATCCCCCTGCCCCGGGCACGGATCCCCAGGAGGGGGCTGGGAGGGGCTGGGGGTGTCCCTGCAGCCCCCCGGGGTCACTTCTTGAGCAGCTGTGCCCGGGCCCGGGTGAGTTTCTCGGCCAGGGCGCCGTCGGTGCCGGGGGAGCAGCGGGACAGCACCAGGTTCATCTCGGCCTCGCTCTTGTGCTCCATGGCCGCCTCGGCCGCCTGCTCCAGGTCCCTGGG